TTTTGTTTATACAAGTATTCCATTGAAGAAAAGAGAAAGCCTTGACCTGAAAAATTTCACTGAATTTGTTTGAAACCTAGCAAAGCCTTGGATATTTTAGTGGCAGTGTTTATAACCTGGAAAAAATGGTACAATATGAAGAAGAAAAGGAACCAACATTGCAAAGAATTATGGTAGAAATTCAAAAAGTTTTAATAACCACAGAGAGAATTGAAAAGAGACTTGAAATTATAGATCAAAATACAGAAAGTACGGAGGGAAGAGTTGAGAATACTTATAAAACAATGATGAAGTTTGAGGACAGAGTTCAAAAAACCACAAAGCCATATGAAAGTGATGCAAAAATTGTTGACACTGACAGCAAATTGAGACTGGAGGGAAACGACAAGTGCAAAATACGGAAAGGAGAGATCGATGAACTGGAACTCTTTCTCAGATGTCAAAACATAGATGAAGAAAGGGGAGAAAATTTGGCAGATTTATGGTATAGTTTTAAAGGGAGTAAATGACTGATTAAAAAATGTGGTTAGAAATATATGAAACATTAAATGTTTATGGGTATTGTATATCAAAGTACAATGAAGTGCAATCCTTATTCAATAATATTTTTGCATTTTTTTCATATAGGTGATTTATCTTTAAAAAAAATTAAAGTGTAAACTGAAAATATTGACATCCAATTCATACTATATTTAAAGAGACCTTTAAAATTGTTTTTCATCATTAACAGCTTCTTTCACTTCACCATTTCACTATGCCTGCTCTTTCATACTTTCCAATATAACTTCACACGCTTCTGTGGCATTCTGTAAGGTAACTTTCTTTTTCACTCTAATCCAAGCAACTTCCACATCCGCTTTTTATTCACAGTGTCATGAGATTAATTTGTTTTACAATATTTTTTCTTCCTGCAATTGTTGCTCCTTCAGTATTGTTTGAGACAGGATTTTTAACCCATGACCTGACGAATAACCATAACTCCCTGTCCTAGGATTGACCTGCATTTTTCTATTAATACTGGAAGGAAGACTGCTTAGACAGGCTAGGTCCTCCTATTTACTCTTGCAAGCTGTGAGATAACAAATTTCCAGTTCTAACATCAATCAGATCATTATTCCTCTCTTTTGTTGAAGCAAGCGCTCAGTCCCAGCTAGATATTTAATCCTAATCTTCCTTTGTTAATGCCTAAATTGAGCAACTCCTGGGGTAGAGGGGAAAAGAGAGATCTCAGGACTATAGAGCTTGCCCATAGAAAGCAGCCATTTGTGAGTTGAATTCTGGAGACCATCCTTGCAACAGGGGCTCACCATGGCACATGGGGGGAAAGTCCCCTGGTATTGTAAGTAATTAATTGAGGCAATTTAAGTAAATATGTTGTTGTTTGTTTCAGTTTTAGCATCTTTTTACATCTTTCAACTTCAGTATCCATTTTACAAATTCTAGATTAGCATTCTAATCCTAGCAAATTCTAGGATTTCAGAAAACAATGCTTAATTCATATATAATTCTAAGACACAATAGGTAGGTTCAAAAACCAACCTAAGGAAAAATGAGCAATATTGTGTGAACAGAAATCATATTAAATATCTGAAAGTGACCAATTAAGGTTAGAGTTACGGCATGTGGGGAAGCTGTTGTAAAAATAAAAAAAATCTTCCCAAATGTGATAATTCTAACACACACACACACACACACACACACAAACTACTGGCAAGTACCCTACCAAAAAAGAAGTAGAAGCTTTAGAAACAAAAACATGGTCTTATATTGTGGCCTTCCTATGGACATCTTTGGTTACTGTGAAAATTAAAACAAGGAAGACCGAGTTTAGGACAACCTTCAATCTGATCCAACAGAGCTCTTCCTGTTTTATATTAGATATTGTAGATACAGGAATCTGACTATTAGAGGAAGGATATAGCTAGAACTCCAATGAGCCAAATATGTGGCAGCTGAAACACCATTCCATGCTATGTTTATAAAGCTCTTGGGAATATGCTACAAACCTTAGCAAACAAACCAAAGATAATCCCTTGGACAAACAATCCCCACCTACCATTCACTCCTGTTCCAGCCAATTGCTGCACATGCAAAAACAACATCTGACACAAATGGTCCCATAGAGATAGAAAGCAATGTCTACATTTATGATGATCCCATTGGAGAAAAGGCCCATCTGTGCTGCTCTCACGACATGAAAAATGGACAGAAAAAATGAACAGAGGGTTAGGTTATGCGACATATGGTCACAGACAGCAATTATTTAAGATACACTGGGATAATTATTTCTATCACATGTTCCAGATGGACAGGCTGCCAGTTCAACCATCATCCTCATACAGCAGACTTTTTCAAGAGTTTAGCGCTTATGATAAATGCAGCAAGTTGGGTGTGAGTAATATTAGAAGCTTAAAATTATTGGTGCTTGTGTTCTCCAAGTTTTCTGCTTGGTTTTTATTTAAAGTTTGTTGATTTGTGATGCCCTTGGGGAGATATAGTTCAAGAATTAACTAAGGTAGAATAATTTGGATGGCAGGATTTTGCCACTCTATTGGAATCACTAGTTGCCTGAGAAGCCAAGGATATAAACAGACAGACAGAGAGACATTCATTTACCAGGGAAACAAACTCTCCCAATCAACAGCTAATCTTCAGATTAATTTTCAAAAGTAGTCATATTTTGCAGCAGTGGATTACACATTAGCCAAAGAGGAGGGCTTGATTTTAAGATGCAAAAAGATGAAAAGACTCATAGAAGTATTTCAATCTTTAAATTCACCGCAACAATCTCCTTGGATTAAAAAAATTTACAAACACACTATGGGATTCCTCTGAAGGCAGTAAAAAAAGATAGTAGGGGGATTATCAGGCCCCACTTACTCCAATGTGGCCAAAGAGAGGCAGCCTGTAAAAGGAGGAGGGATTAACAGACAAAAGAAAATCCTAATCTTCTTTTGAAGTATTGATTCCATATTATCCCTTTGCAGTTATACAGTATATGGGCTTTTTAGATCAGGGTGTCTCACACACAATTTCACATCTTCCAGTATCCTAACCAGTCTGTTTATCTTATGTTAGGTTACCGTTTATCAAGTGATCTGTTTTTCACTATATTTTATCGTGGTGTCTTATAAGTCCCAATTCATGGATCATTATCTTATGATAGTGAGTTGGCCTCCATATGTCAGTGGCTCTGTGAATATATTTTTGAAACTACACACTTCAGAACACTGACCTAGAAATGGCCGGATCAGAGAGAAAGGATCAATCATGATTCAGTGAAGAAGGAAAAGGCAACCAAGAAAACTAAACAAATACACACAATCAGGACAAATATTTGCATGACCATAGTAAATGAATTCTTCAAACTGGAAGGTATTCAGTAAGCTACTGGGTAAAGGCAAGAACAAATATAAATAACATTGGTGTTTACGATACGACTGTTATCCACAGGCAAAAACAGAAAGTGAAGTGTATATTCATATACACAAACATCACATTTATGTGTGGAATATCAGGAACATGATATTATCAGAGCAGAAATATAGCACTGGAATATAGCACTGACTTTCTCTGATCGAGATAAATAAAATGGATGGGAATTCATCTTTACACAAGAGGCTCATCAAATCTTCTTTTGTGGACAGGAAATTCACAGAACAAATGGAGACATCATCATTTTTAGCAAGAGTGCAAAAGTCAATGCTTAGATACACCCCGCCCTGAAAATGGTAGAATAGTCACAATCCAAGTTCTAGGTGAGATTTCCTATGTTACAATGATCCCGTTTTATTTTATGCTTAAAGCACAGATCTAGAGGAAGATAATATTGAAAAGTTCCTAGATTACCCTGTTGACCCACTTCACAAACTAAAACATGTCACAGTCATAATAGGCAATGTGTGTATTAAAACGTTAAAATAAAAAAGCATTTGGAATCATGGGAACAAATGAATTTGGTGTTGAAACAAAGCAGATGATTGATTAATAGAATTCTCCCAAGATCATTTATTGTTTGCAGTAAATACCTTCTTCTAATAAGCTGCAAGATTTAATTGCCGGACAAACAATATCAAAAACACATTGACTAAAACTATATACTTTGCAAGTTAAAAGGGAGGTGTTTAGCTTTGCCAACAAAAACAAGACCTGACTGAAATCAGGAACGTCTTATGAATTACAATTTAGAAAGCAACAAAATAATCAGACCAATAAGATACAATCTCAGCAATATTTCATATGAGTGAGCAGTGCAGGTAAATAACAGATTTAATATATTAGACTGAATAAAGAGAATATTTGGAGATCGCTCTGGACCAAATCTGTGATATCATCAAAGGTGAAACAAATATATTCCACCTGGTAAACAGCAGAATAAGGAGAAATGTCTGCCTGTTGGTTTGTTGAAAATAAATGAGAAAAATTGCAAGGCAAGGCAACATAAGAAAATTTATCCAAATAAAAAGCAATTGTTTAAGATATGACTATGAAAGCTAGTCATTAAGAAAGTCTGAATGAATTAAAATTAATGTGTTATCCCCGTGGTGCTGGGGGAAACTGTTGAGTACAATGAACAGCAAGAAGTAATCATTCAATCTTAGATAATAAAGCTAAATGTTTAGCTACTGTGGCCATATTATGGAAGCACGAATCTCTGGAGAAGACTCTGATGATTGGAAACATAGATGGAATAGAAAAGTTGTCAGCAGAACATAAGATGGCCAGATGCTTTTACTGATAAAACAAGCATAACTTTAAAAAATCCAAGGAGTTAATTATTCACAAATAATTCTGGCAAATTGATGTCCATTAGGATGTGAAAAAATGGTAATGAATGGATTACTGAACAACAGCATCCTCTAAGTCATCTAGAGAACATTACCATTGGGCAGTTTGATATTTGTATTAATAAAGTAGCATAAATAGAGAAATAAACAACTTTGCATTTCATGGGGAGGGGATAGGTGACTAGAAACATCTTGGGAGGGGGAGTTTCTTACGTGGCACAGCAACTCCATATTCTTGTGGATTTTCTGCCACTACTTTCTGCTTGAGTTCATTTAACCGAGACCCCAAAGAACCTGAGAGATGAGAGGAAGAGGAGGGTGAATAGACAAAACACAAGGCATATGCAGCAGAAGCCAACCATAAAAAGATACAGGCCAATGTTTGATTGGCAGCTTTATCTAAGTTGGTTCTGCCCTTAGAAGTGAATCAAATAAGATATGATGTGCACTGTTAGCAACTGTCTTAAAAGCTTTCTAATAACACACCTCTGGGTCCCAATAAGCTCACAGCCTCTGATATGATTCCTCTCCAAGTTAGAGTGCAAAACTTCTTTTTATTCTAGTGGGCATTTCTAGTTTTCAAATGCAAACAGCAGGCATGGAATGAAAGGTTAGCAATCCTAAATCCATCATCTCCTGCTGTCCAATGACCCCCATCAAGATCCATATAGCCCAAATCCACTGTACTTTTTAAACAGATCTATAAGCCAATTCCACTACTTTTGAAGGCACTAAATGAAGGCTTTGCTCAGCTTTTGTACCTCGTTAGCTTTATCTTCCAGACTTTCACTTTTCAAGCAACTGGCCTTCCTTCTCAGGTTAAGTCAGAAGGGAAAGGCATCCCGCAGAGATTGTTTGGAAGGTGGAGAGCTTTGTCTTTAGAGGGCCAAGCTGGCAAGCCCAGTTTACCTGCTGCTTTCCCATTCCAGGTTAACGAATTGGGTAGCATCCTACATCCTGCTCAGTGGAAGAAGTAAAACACAGTGGGGAAATGCTAAATTTCAGAAAGGAAGATGAGTAAAATTCCTCATGCATGTTTATTTTACATATAAACCAGTTCTTCTCAAACCTTGGCAAATTTAAGACATGGCTGGTGGAAAATTCCAGGAGTTGAGGCCACATGTCTTAAAGTTACCAAGATTCAGAAACACTCATATAAACAATTTTAAAAACATTTATTTTTATTACATGTTTATCTTTTTGTTTCCTTCAAGGAGGTGATGGAACTTTGCATCATCCAACAACCAGGTGCTAATGTTTACAATTTCCAAAATAGGAAGCAAAATTCCTGTGTGCTAAATGAACAGCAGGAACAGGCTGATATCCCCATATCCTGATATGAGCTTCTCAGAGGTATCGGATGAGCCTTTGAGGAAATGGGATTCTGGACTAAAAGAACTTGATTCTCATCCAGCATGAGTTTTATATTCTTAAAATCTGGAGCCTTTACCTTCAAAGAAGTATGCTTCTCAAGCTAAGAGTGACATAATTGTAGACAGAATCTTTACAGATTAAACCCTTTCTACTCTCACCATAATGGATATGCCCAGGGAGATTCTATGGCTGTGATAGCAAATCTATGGCAGGCATGCCCAAAGTGGCACACAGAGCCATGTCGCCTGGCATGCGCAACATTGCCTGTTCCTCTTCTGGGTTTCTGGCACGCATGCACGTGCGATGATCAGCTGGCCTTTGTGCATGTGGCAATGCCGGAAAGTGGAAGAGCTGGTCTCCTGTTTTCCATGGTGAGCATGCATGCTGGCCAGCTGATTGTCATGCGTGCCATATGTGCCAGTAATTGGAAGACTAGCTGTCTGGCGCACATGCACGTGCTAGAAATCGGAAGTTTGTTTTCCAGCGCGTGCATGCTTTCTAGCAGCTTGTCTACTGGGTTGTGGCCCAGACAAATGTGCAGGCTCTCTTTTCGGCACTGGGTGCCAAAAAGGTTCGTCATCTTTGTTCTAGGGAATGGCTCTGCTTACTCTCTTATCCAGGTCAGGACTATGCTGCCTTTTGTATCCCCTTTCCCTTTTCTGGAATGTGCTCCTTCCTTGCTAGGAAACTGCAACTCCACTGAATTCCCCTTGCACCAGCTCACCCTCTGAAAGCACCATGTCTCATAATGTTATTCAAATCCTGTCTGTTTTGAAATACATTCATGAATTTAGTGAACACGTAGAGAAAGTTACCCAAAACTAATTACAAGAGGCATGGTCCTCTGAATTATAGATTTTATATATAGTAGAATAAATGTCTACTTAATTGGGAACTACCTGGATTTTGATGAAGATGGATCCAAAACTCGCTTTTCTTTCCTCATGATCCTTGATACTGACTGTTAAGCTCTACCACATCCCATACCTTCCTAAAAAGATGAGAACTTCAGGGTGCATCTTTGAGGTCACCATATAGTTTGAAAATGTTGATGTCCACCATCTATGTCAGTGTTTTCCAATCTTGGCAACATTAAAGCATGGGCTGGCAGGAGAATTTGGGGAGCTGAATTTAAAGTTGCCAAGGTTGAGGAACTGATCTGCAGTGTGTCAACAATCGGTTCCCAGTAACAAAATGGTGCTCTTTTTACACACAGCAACTCACCAATTAAAACCACCAATCTCTTCCTTTCAGCAGGCTGCTGCTGGTATTTGATGACTTCCTCATATGTGAGAAGTTCTGGAGTGGAGTTTTGTTCTGTTTGTTTGACTTCATTTGGATCGCTCTGCTTCTCCTTTCGGCTCAATCGGAAACTTCGTCGCAAGCCAGCTAAAAGGCCAAAAGTAAATATTTTCCTTCTCTGTGTTATTCAAAGTGTTAGGAAAGGCTTAATCAATTCTATTTAGTCTGCTATCCAATCATCTGGTGATTCTCAAACTTCAAAAGATTATATCCTCCCCTTCTTATTAAGTTGTTGCCAATCAAATCTCAAAATGTCCATTATGATATGTACCATATTGTTCAGAATATAAGACGCACCAAGATTTTGAAAAGACAAATTAAAAAAGAAAAATGTTTTTACATTCTGCAGAGCTCCAAAAAATGGCCTGTTTTTTGTGAAAATGGGCCTATTTTTCATCCCAAAAAAAGGACATGGAGGGGGCTGGGGAGAAGGGGGCAAAAACGTGAAAAAAACAGGCCCACATAGGCCAAAAATGCTGTATTCAGTGTATAAGACGCACTCAGATTTTCACCCTTTTTTTTTGGAGTGAAAAAGGTGCTTCTTATACTCTTAAAAAAATACAGTATATAACAGCTAGTTCTCAGCTAATAACTGATGGCTTAGCAACAATTTGAAGTATCTCCCAAAAGGTACTTACAACTTGGTTCCAAAGTTCCAACACCCCCCACCCTACACACAGACAGTTATAGAGAGTATCAGCACTTGGCCCATATTTATGGCTGCTCCCAGCCCCCCAGAGTCACCAGATAATGATTTATTATTTACATTGTTTTTGCTGAACAAATGGTTTGCTTAACAGTCATAGCCTTTGCTTAACAACTGCTGCAAAAAGAAATCATAAAATTCAAGTCAGTCACATGATGACTCACTTTATGACCATTAAAACATATGACCGTAAAGGGTAGGCTCCATTTTAGCCATATGCTGAGGACTGATTATTTGAATGTCAAAAATAAACTAGGGAAGGAGGGAGGGAGGAAAGGAGATCAAGAGCATAACTAGAACTAAAATGAATACCAAGAAACAACCTAGTTGTTCGTTATTCATTCAGTAATCCGTTATTCATTCACCCATTAGTTCAGCCCAAGGGTGAAATGTTACCAGTTTGGACCAGTTCGCCTGAACCCGTAGCAAATATGCCAGCTGTTCACCTGAACCGGTAGTAAAAAAAAATGCTACCAGTTTGGGTGAACCGGTTTTTCCAAAGATCAGCTGTGCCACACGATTTATATTAGTTAGAAAGCAGGATTTCCTGCTTTCTAGCTAATCTAAATCATGTGGCACAGTGGATTCCCCTTGCTGTTTTCTTGCCTTGCTCTTCGCTTGCTCGCTTGCCAGGCGTGCTCAGTAGCAGGATCTGCCCACCCGCCTAGAGGTCATTTTGACGCTCTGCACATATGCGGAAGGTCATATTGCTACCGAACTGATAACAAAGGTAAGTGGATTTCACCCCTGGTTCAGCCCATTTTTCAATCATGTTCCGTGGCTGCAGTCATAGACATTTTTCTTTCTCCCATAGAAGTGGATGGCTATTATTCTTCCCTAGTAAAGAACATCTTGAGAACAAAGTTTCAGAAGGATTCCTCCAGCTCTCTCTAATCTGGTGTAAGGCAACTTCACTAGTTATAAAACAGCTGAATATACACTATATCGCCAAAAGCATTCACTCACAACTGAGTCTGATTATATGAATGGGTGAGTGAATACCTTTGGCAATATAGTGTAAATGCATTAGGTGCCGAATTAATATAATTGCAGAACTATTTGCAGAACAATTGAACTATATACCTTCCAGGTTCTAGGACAGAATCTGGAATATGTATTATTCATTACAAAGACTGGTACCCACCTATGTATTGTCCATTGAAGTAACCCTCACAGTCACAGTCTTCTGTACAGAAAGAAGAGTGAGAGAATAGGCACAAATGTATTAAAAGTTGCAGGTCATGCATTCTGGAAATAAGAATGCCATTATCTGTCTTTAAGTGCTAATATGAAAACCGGTGGGAAATAAAGAACAAAGGCTAGACAAATTCAGTAAGTAAAGCAGTTGTGTTGTATAGAGAGATTGGCTCCAAGCATCCACGGGCAAACAATTCTGTCTGAAGCTCTGGAGAAGTGTGGGCTGGTGCCAGGCTATGCCAGTCCAGTCTGGCAGTCTTCAAACATCTCAGATGTCTTTAATTTTGAGCCAAAAAATGGGAGTTCTACATTTGAAGTCTCACTGGTTGAGCAAGGCCAGTGTTTGCTTGATTGATTTGCATATTATTATTGTTGTTGTTGTTGTTATTATTATTAGTATTTAAACTGATATCATAATAAAAGGTGAAATTGTTTAATTGTGGACAGCAATACTGAAAAATATAGATTTCTGGGGTAAGGTAGCTTTCTAGGTTTCAAAGTAAGGAAAACATCCTGTAAAGTTGATTTACCATAAATAGAGGAGTGCTCTTTTTTAAAAAAGTAATTATAATTCAAAGGCTGAGTTCAAGAGTACAAGATAGACAGACAATAAACAGTGGAGATCTAGAAACAGCAAACAAGCAGGCTCTCATGAGCCATGAACATGCTTGAAAGTTACCCCCAGAGAGTTTTCAAAGCATAGAATGGTGATGGCGAAGCTTTTCGGCACCAAGTGTCCAAAACGGAATGGCATGTATGCATGCCGGCCAGCTGGCCTTCACAGATGCCAGAATGCTAGAAAATGGCTTGAAAAACAACTAAAAAACAGCCAGTTTTCAGGCCATTTTAAGGGTTTCTTTTCAGGCCCAAAACAGCCTGGAAAACAGCCTAGATTTTGGCTCCAGTGCCCGTAAAGATCAACTGGCAATGGCAAGTGTGCCCGCAGAAAGGGCTCTGCATGCCAGCTCTGGCACACATGCCATAGGTTCACCATCATGGGCATAGAGGTAGGGCTGCAGGTATCTACCCCACTTTTTGCAAGAATCTCTGACACGCATAGCACATGAAAAGAGTCAGGGTTTAAAATGTGTGGCTGCAACTCGAGTTTTTGACCTCCCCCAACAGATGTCTCTTTAGGGCTAGGGTAGAAGGCCCAAATCATTCATCTAATGTTAGCATAGTGAAACCTGGGTGAAGAGAATGTTCTTCAATGTGGGGAATGAAATAGTGAGTGCACATAAAAGATCTACTTGTCCCTGTGTGCATGTTTAAGTTTAGATTCTGAGTTTTTGGTCTCATTGAACTCAGGAGGGGGAACAAGTTTTAAACAGTTTTAGGACTGTGTGATCACTTATTCCACAAACAATGCAATTAATTTTAGATGACTATGACATGGGAAACCATCCACTGGCTGTTTCAAGGTGACAAAATAAACGGCACACTCAACTGAAGAATTCAAATGTGAATTGCCAACTGTTACTGTTGTGTAAATATTTTAATAAATCCTTTCCCAACTGGTCAGACTGAATTGCCATAATCTCCTGTCAGTTCACAAATCTGGGTAACCCTAGCCCTGTTGGTTTTTCTTAAGGACTAAAAAAAAAATGTAGAACTTCCCTCAGGTATTTGGCAACATAGGGAGGCCAGGCCTGAAAATTGGTTTGTCTACTTTTAGTTTTCATTGATGAGAAACAGAATGATTTTTAAACCCTCACATGCATTGGATTGATGTGCTTGATATTTACTTTATACGTTCCTTTTTTTTGCTTTTAGCCTTCTATGTACCACCGAGAGCAATTGTTTTGAGAAGCTTGACTGTATAAATTATATAAACAATTATCTGGAAACTGCCATGTTAGAGACAGCTCCTCTAATCACTCTGGCCAAATAAGCAGCAAATGACCTCGGCCCCTTTAAACTAATATAAAAAGCACATTGTTTATCATTAGAAGGAAAGTGTTTTTCTTTATTTCTTTGCCTCTTAACTGGATTGGGTTCCTTATTTATCTATTTATATAAAGGGTTTGTGTGTCCTCCCATTTTAAGTAATTCTGAGTGGCTCACAAAAATAAAACCAATAAGTAAAACAATAATAAAACAGTAAAAAAACAGTAAAACAATAAAAAGTAAAAACACCCTTTGGGATGCCCACTGCAGGCTCAGCTGCCCTCCTTCCATGCCATCTGCCTACACAATCCTATCCCAGGCCTCGGTGTAAAGTCGGGTCTCTGCGTAAGGTTAAAAGAATGGAGGCTGTCAAATCACAATGAGAGTGTGTTCTTGTGTGGTAGGGGCAACCATGGAAAAGGCACTAGATGGGATTCCATTTTAGCCACAGCTGTACTAGGGGACTCTCCAATGGTGGGATTCAAAATCTTTTACTACTGGTTCTGTAGCGTGGCTTTGTGAGCATGGCTTTGTGGGCATGGCAGGGGAAGGATACTGTAAACTCTCCACTCCCTCCCCACTCCAGGGGAAGGTTACTGCAAAATCCCTATTTTCTCAGCTGGGACTCAGGAGGCAGAGAATAGATGGGGGGCAGGGGCAGTCAGAGGTGGTAATTACCGGTTCTCCATACTACTCAAAATGTCTGCTACCGGTTCTCCTGAAATGCTCAGAACCTGCAAAATACCACAGCTGGAACTGTCCCAATTGCCTTAAATCAAGGCAATTAAATTTAAACTCCTGCATTATTAATACTGCTAATAAGACTTTGTTTATAAACTGAGCAGCTTTTCTTATTTGAGGCAATTGTTAAGTTAAAAAAGGAAGCCATCACTCCAGTACATTTTTCTGGTAGGTGCAAGGCCAAATCAAAAAGAAAAAGGAGAAGGAAAAATAGCTACACATTGTGGTTCAACAGGAAATTACCTGCTGTGTTAACAAAAAGCTCCTAGAAACAGCACAATAGCTTTTTAAGAAACAGCAGGAGCTTAATCCATGTGATTAGCACATACAAAAAAATAAATTACATAGTAAAACACCGGGCAAATTAATAGCTAAGGAAAATTAAACGAGATTGACATAAGAGGCCCTGAGTGTATATGAGAAAAGTTTCTTTTTCCTCTTTTATGAAGCTGTAAAAGACTGATTTCCACTACAGACAGAATAACTTTAATCCAAGGACTAAGAGCTAATTGGTGTAGTGGTTAATGTATCAGACTAATAATCAGAAGATCATGTGTTCATTCTAATTATGGGCACAGAGCAAGTTGGATGTCTCTGGGCCAGTCATTTTCTCTCATTCCTAGGAATGAGGTGGCAAGCCACTTCTGAAAAACCTTGCCAAGAGAAGCGAGGCAGTATGCTCCATCCCATAATTGGATATAGCAGGTTGCCCTGATAAAAAACAGTTTCTAAGGTTTGTCTCGGCAGTCTCTGATAATTGGACAAGACTGAACAAGAGGGGGGGGGGTGATCCAAGTACTGCTAATAATGAGGTAAATGACCCTTCTCCTGGGCTGGAATGGGATAACCATAGGAAATTGAATCTTGAATCAACCAGTGATTGGATGTTGTAACCCACCTAGTGTCATATGATAGGTGGCAGAGGTGGGTTGCTCCAGGTTTGGCTGAACCGGTAGTGGTATTTTGGCCTGGATCGCAGAACCGGCAGCGACCCAGGCTGGCCACACCCCCAAACCAGTTCCCTGGTCGCCGCTGCATTGCCGGCATGTTGTTTAGTAGTGCATGTGCGCAGTTCACTGTAAATTGTTCTACACATGCACGAAGAACAATTTACATTGAACTGTGCACGGGCGCACAGCAAAGCATGCACAAAGCAAACTGATAGTAAAACAGGGAACAACCCACCTCTGATGGGTGGCTATACAAATATAATAAATAAATAAGCATCTTAGCATTCTAACCTCAATACTCAAAAAACTCATTCTGATTTCAGCATTTCCACAGATATCGATCATGATGTTGCTTTTGTGTTGGACATTCCCTCTTCTCAAACATGTTCTTAGCTCACTTTCTCTGCAAATCACTTCTACCTCTTCTTCTCCCCTGCTCTTCATCTTGCTCCCCCTCAATTCCCACTTAGATTAAGCACCAAGCAATCCATCCTTTTCTTTAATTTGGAGGCAAGTTATCTATATTATATGCATTTTATACCAAAGCAAGACAGTAAGGTAATATTAAGCATAATCACATTGAAATAATACATTTAGATTTATGAACATGCCTAGTTTATTCACATTTTTCCTAGCAAGGAGGAATAAAATGGGATCAGATGTTATCTAATAAATCCCATTATTTGAAATTTATCACTAAATGAGCATCTAAATGACCTAAAATTGCTTATAGCACCCACAAAGCAATGATGTAGAAATCTGACCCGAAACCTCTTCCTTTTTTTTTGAACAGAAAGGTTTCAAATCCTCAGATCTTTCTCAAAATTCCTCCCAACATTCCATGTCCTTTCCATTTAAGTGCCTCACTGTTTTGTCAAATTATATTCAGATTAGTTTTTAAAAAGCATCTCTGATGCAGAATCAATTGTAGAAAATGAAAAACAAATGCACAATTGCACCATCTATTCAAGCTGAACAATCTAAGTTCTCTGTATCGGCATGTTGATTTCCTTCACTGCAGGATGGTTTGAGCAGGCAGAAAATGACTCTCCTGGTGCTGTCACTCCAGAATAGCTGGAGAACCTACCTTTCTCAGAAGACTGATCATCTGCGGTTAGCATGAAAAGACAGAGGTAAGATTGTTAAAAGAAAGCCAAGAAAAATGTCTCAAGGGATTCTTTATTCAGTCCAATTGCTTAGGTGTAAGGAAAGCATCCCATATATATTATCTTGACAGGGAAAATAATAAGTAGACATTATATTCTGCTTATGAATTCTGATGAGGTAAAAAGCCTATATGTATACACAGAGACCTAACTGAGAAACAAATTAAGTATGTAAGGAAATTTTGATTTTTCTCAAAATTAAAAAAAAAGAGATATCTATTTGGACCAGTGGGAATAGTACGAAGAAAAAAGGGTTGTAATTTACATTAAATTATAATTACAGAAAAACTTCTATAAAATGATGTCTCATTGGTACATGGAACTAGATACGTTGTCAAAAATATACAAGGGAATTTCAAAATATGGTGGAAAGGCGATCAAACTGAGGAAACGTTTTTTCATCTTTGATGGGCATTTAATAAAGCTAGAAAATATTGGGATCAAGTTTGTATTTGATGCAGAATATTTTAAAAGTGAACTTAGAATTGAAAGCACAGACTTTTTGGGAGGCGTAATGGATAAATAATTGAGATATTTTATGGCACTTGTTTTTATAATAGGATAACAGGGGCGAGACTCAAAGATGGAAGGATTTACAAATATCAACAAAGGAAGAATAGATGGCGAAACTAGTAGAATTGGGGGGGGGTGGCAAATTTTATTTCTACTTCGAAACCATTTTTGGACTTTTCCCAAGAAACTGAAAGAAATGAAAAGTTGATTTTTGGGATTTGAGAATTAAAATTTTATGGAAATATGGAAATAATGTAGACAAATGTTAACCTTGCAGTAAGTGTTTGATGTAGCTTTTTTAAACATGTTTAACAAAGAAAATTGGTACATTATAGGGAGGAAATATATATTTTTCTTTCTTTTTTGCACTTTCACTTTTTCTGTTTTTTCTTCTTTCAAATCTTTTCTATTTATCTTGTATGTATGTATGTATGTATGTATGTATGTATGTATGTATGTATGTATGTATG